TTGGCATGTTTCTACAGAACATTTGACTTTCAGCATCAGCATTCTTCTAACAGAAAATATTTTTGCAGGGAAGCAAAAAAAAAAAAAAAAAAAAAGAATTTTGTCTGAGTAATACAAGAGGATGTCAAGTGCCTTCTTTTACCATGTCCCCATGGCACAGATAACTTCTAAACCTCTTTTATTCCCCTTACTTTGGTAAATCCTTGTCCTCCTTGAAACTCACAACCTTGCAGATCCCATCTCAGTGTAACCACAAGGGAAGGAAACATCTCCAGAAGAGCAGAGTGGTTTGCCATTGCCATCTTTGTGCTTTTAATTCCCCTCCACATCTTGCCTATGGTTTTGATGAGCTACTTTCCTCAGAATGTCTCTTTCCACCCTTCACCTTGTGCCCAAAGTCACAGCATGGCTGAAGTAGGAGGCTTGGAGGAGACCTCTGTGTGCAAAGACCTTGATCTGGAAAAGGCTGACATCCTACAAAAGCAAAGGAACTACACAGAGAGGATTCTCAGAGGCACCCTTGCTGCAGTGAGGAGAAAAAAGCAAGAAGTGAAGGTGTATCACCCCCTTCCTCACGGGACAAGGCAGATAAATCAACCATCAAGTTTCCAACAGGCACAGCATCTTCAGGGGGAGCTTTTCATACTCCAAATTCAACAATCAAGGAAATACCATAGCAGACATCCATCACCAGCAACCAGCTGCTCTAAGTGGGCTCCCAGAAGCTTCATCCACAAGCCACGCTTTCCTCAGAGGAGAAATGCCATTACAGGTTTGTCACAAAAGGCAACATAAGCATCTGACCACTCGTTCTCCTGAGAAATATGAAGCTACTCTGTCACACTGTGGTGCCAGCATCTCAAACACACATTTCCTTCACCTCTCCTAACCTAGGGCATAACTAGAAGGCTGCAGTTGTACCTCTGTACTGACTGAGACAACTCTAGCAAAGCAATTACAACACTGCTGCTAAATGCTCTCCACAAGCTGAATTATCTCTTGCAAAAAGAGATTCATCCCTCTGAACAAAAGTGTTGCCAGAAAGTAAAAAGCTATCAGCAAGGTAGTTTTGCTCCTCAAACATCAGGGAAAGGATCAGTTTGGACTTCCTAGCAAAGGCTGGATCCCCTCCAAGGGAGTTGAACTCATCTTCAGTATGTCCTGTGGTGTAAAAGAATTGCTGCCATCAGCAGTGCTGGCAAGTGGGAATGCTGCCTGTCCTGTCCTGTCATCTCGGTGCAGTCAGCCTTCAACAGCTGCTGAGCAGACACTGATACCTGGGCAGCAGTGGAGGAGCCTCTGTGGTTGTGTGGATTAAACACACACTGTACAGACCTGGTGAAGCTCCCTTCCTGGCTTCTCCAGGTGCTGCTCCTCTGGAGAGCCATTACACTTGTGCAAACCAGCCAAAAGGAGCTCAGACCTCCCAACATTGCCCTCCATCTCCAGTGTTCCACAAGGATGAACACTGGATTCATACCTCTTCTCAGGAATTTCCTACTGGAACTTTGCATTTCAATCTGCTTGTTAACACACTTTCTTGTTTTCTTCCAAATCTTTATCCACAGGATATTCTAAGCCATGGGTATTTCAGGGAACTTTGATACTACTGTGACTATACAGAGCCTTTTTGCTCATATTTTTGCTGCTGTCTTGACAGGACTGAAAAGCCACATCTTCCCTTCTCAGAATTTCAGAATGGATTGCATCACAGCACAAACATCCTACTCTGTTGACTCTGTTACATGTTGCTCCTGAAAGGTTGAGACCGGTTCTCCTGAAGTGCAAATTTTATCCTCTCCTAGCTCCCAAAGCACAACCCATCAGAAACTTTTTCCTTCACTTGATGGCAGCATCAGGCACCAAGTTTGATTTGTGAGGCTTTATGGAGGTTCAACAGGGCCTGGAGAGGTTGTGTTCTTCACAAGTAGTTCTCAGAAAACCTCCTACCCACCCACAGCATGATTGTCAGGAACATAATTACCTTATCCAGTGCTGTGATCTCTGAGATTTTAGGTACTTCCATTAAATAAACTTGGCTTCTTTCCCAGAGACTTCCTTACCTGGGATCCTGACTTCATGGTAAGCTTTGCCTTCCTCTTTTGTGCCTGTGGGGCTCTAAGGATGCTCACAGGTTTGCAGCAGCTGAAGCAATTTATCTGTTTAAAAAGGTACACAATTTATCTGGTACACACTGAACGTGAATGAGATGCATGCAGGCAACAATATTCTGAGGAGGTTTTCAGACATGTTGCAGGGATCACTCAGTCTTTATCCTATTGAGTTTTTACTTGGGCTTCTAGAACCTTCTCTTCTCTTTCTTGGCCTCTTCTGCTCCTTAGCATCTCTGTTGTCTTTTTAAATACACTGACATTGAAATAAGGAAGGAAAAAAATACCCAAAGAGTCTTTGGCATGCACTCATCACCCCCAAGCCTATTTACACCGGAGCATCCTGCCTCAGATATTTCTTTTCCCACTCAGCCTGCAAGGTTCCCTTCTATATCACTCTAAATATGGCCTTGGACTTGTGATTTATACTTCAGATCCCTCTTCTGTACGAGGGAAACTGCTCAGAACATCATCTCTGACTGACCACCCTGCTGTGGACCTTTCCCATTCAGCATGCTCGTGCTACTCAGGCCCCAAAAGGGAAGGGCAGGACGGAAGTCTTGAAGTTCCTTTGCAGGTTAAACTCCAGGCAGGAGCAGAGACAGCTGGAAATTAAACATTACAGCCAAGAGTGCTTTCTGCTCAGTGGTGTAGCTTCTCCAAAAGCTCTTTCAGAGACATTAAACAGACGAGGGTTTGTTTTTCCACCTAGCTCTGAGATTTGTAGAAATGAAATCCCATCCACTTCACATGGGCAATAGACACTGGCTTTAATTCCATTTAATTTAACTTGTCGCCATACCTCCACCTCTGGGAACTGATGTGACCACTAACATTCTCAGCTGCCAGTTGCCTGTCCTCATCCTAAAATTGGCATTCCCACACCACTGGCAAGGCTGAAGATTCTTGGAACCTTGAATCTTGCAGCTCTCTCAGCTTTAGAGTTCGGTGTGGCTGCACTTGAAAATTCCATTACCACGCTCTCAGATACCTGGGCTCAGGTCCATGGGGTGCCCCTTTGGCACAGGTGGTAGGATTTGCCTCCTTTCTGAAACCTTTGTGGATATCAGAAAATGTATTTCAGCAGCCCCAAGCTGGGGGTTGATTTCCCCCTTGTGAGCTCACACAGTGTGCACAAGCACAGCAGGAACCTGAGCACGCAGTGCCACAGTTTGTACAAACCCCATCTGCCAGCATTAGCAGAACCTTTCCTGTGCTGCTTTCGAGCCTCTACCACAGGCAGTGAGATTATTTGGTATGTTTTTGACCACATCTTAAAACACAGCCCAGTTAGCTCAGGGAATAAGAGAAGAAATGACAATGAAGGCACAATATCCCACAGCAGCTCAAAAGGTTTCTTCAGCCTGTCAGTCACAGATTCACCAACACTGTCAGCCAGGAAGGATGGAGAATCCTGAACATTTTTAGGCTTCCTTCAGTTATTTTGAAGGGCCTCTGTACCTTCTACCAGCAATGCAGCAAGCAGCAGGATAAGGATCATTCTACTGTTAGAAAAGGTGATTTTCAGAACGAGAAAGAGGAAGGGGGATGGGACAGAGAAAGGTTTTGCTGGAAAGATGTTTGCCTAGCAACACAAAATCAAAATCTATGCCTGACCTGTAAGAAATGTCTCTATGGGCACTGCTCCTTTATTTGGTATTCAAGCCAACTTTTGCCTGTATGTGATCTGAAAACACAAGAGCAAACATGTGAAATAGGAGGACAAAAGCAATGAAAGCTGACACTACCAAACCAATGAGTTAACCCAAATTATTAAGTGGCTTGGTGTACCTTGGGTTTTTAATTGCTCTCATTTGCCTGTGTCACCAAAATTAGGCTGTGCAATCCAAACTACAGTTTTTCTTCAGGTCATACAATGCCAGTTTGATTGCTGCAGCATCCTTGGAGAGCAGGAGCATGCTGCAGGACTCCACCATGGCACTAGAGGGGAATTCTGACACTGACAGAAGAAGAAATACATCAGTTCCCACTTTGCTAAAGTAGCAGACAGGTTTGGCATGGGGTAGAGGTTAAGCCTGAAGGATTACATTACTATTGAACTGAAGGACTCCTAATAAAGACAGTTTTATTTAATTTACAATTCTGCTTCTTACACCTAAGGATACTTGCAGCCTTGGGTGTTTTTCAGAATTGCTCTCAGTATTGGAAGTGGCCCCAGAGGTTAATCAAGGAATATCAGGCAGTGTCTGCAGCAATTTGACTCTTCCAGGCGTGACCAGGGCTCGGCTCAGCCCAGCCTGGCCTCCAAGAACAAATCCACTGGGTGCCATGGGCTTTGCTGAGAGGTGGGTGAAGGTAGTGAGAGCTAATTAGCTGCACTAACCCACTTCCCACAGCTGGTGCTGGGTGTTGTAGGGCTGTCAAGAGCCAGTTAGAGTCTCCCAACCCGTTCTCTCACCCAGAACTGTATGGAAATGGGGATTTATAAAGTGTTGCTTTAGCACTGGGATATTATGGGTTTACCAAACCAGATGGATGCACTAGAAGCTGGCTGGTCCCTGTGCAGACATGCTCTGGATCTGAGTGGGAGAGCTAAATCAGCCCCTGTATTGGACTTTTACCTGTATTGGTAAAAGAAACATTTTACCAGCACAGCGCCTCCACTGCCAGGGTGTCCAGCACTCAGGGTGGCACTCACATGTGGAGAGAGCTTATGTCAAATTCAGTGGCAGCTGTACCTTCCTCTGCCACGGCCAGCCTCGACCCTGGGCATCCTAGGGAATAAGCCCAGCCTCTTGTGCATTTCTTTCAAATTCCCTTTTGCCCTCTTCTGCCATTTTGTTGCTCCTGTGTTAGCCAAGACCTAGTTTACTAGGGCTCTTGATTGGAGACTTATTACAGCTTATTTCTGTCTGCCTTTCTTTAAAGCCAGCTGAACATACCCAATGCTCTTCCTCTATGGTAAGACCAAAAATACAGACCACCCTCCCAGCTTCTGTGACACTCTTTCTAACACACTCCTTTTTTCTCTTCTCCGTGATCACAAGTTCTCTCTCCAAGCCCAGCCTAGTTATTTGTGCATGAAGCTGCCATGTCGTGTATTGGTGTGAGTCTGGTGTTCACATGAGCTGTGAATATGCTGCACATGTGTATCTCTTGTGCATCCTGAGCTTTCCTTTGGTCAAGTTAACTGTCCTTCTGCCTTCTAATGAACCACCAAGAGAGAACTGGACCTGGTAAGATTTCTTGTTAGCCACAAGCCACGTCCCTGGGCTGCTATGGATGTGACGCTGAATGAGTTTGCAGGGTGACTTCATGTCCAAGCCTCCAGAAAAGGAAAGGCTGGGACTCTGAAACTCCTCTTCAATGAGGTGATTCATTAAGAACATTTGAGCTCTTATTTTGCACAAAAAAAAAAGAGTAAATGGTGCACAAAGCACTGCTGCCTTGGTGTGCAAGGCAGTTCCCACACCACCACTAACTCCAGATTCTGGATTGCCACTCTGCAGAACCTCCCTGCTCCAGCAAGGATACGCCTTCAAAAAGCTGGATGAAAGCCAGGAGGAAGCAAGCAGGGCTACTCAAGCATCAGCTCATCTATGGCCACCTAGTTTTAAAGTGACTGTAATCTTCTGAGGCATCGCTGAGATTTTGGCTAAGTGGTTTGATGCCAGTAAGTTGCAGATTTGCGTCAGGGAGGGATTTGTTCTATTTTATCTGCTGCTTAGACTTTGCCTGCTCCAGGATGCTAGGAGGGCAGAGATAAATATCTGCCTCCTCTCAGCAAGGAAGGACAGAGGAATACTAAAACCTCTGTCTAGACCCATGTCCCAGCTTGCTGTCACCTAAAGAGCCGAGCCAACAAGAAGTACAGCAGGTAGAATAAAAAAAAAAATGGTTTTTTAATCACAAACACATCAGGATTGCTGTCCACACAACCTCAGCTCTGTTTTAGATTGTATTAGAGCCTGGCTTCTCCAGGACTGGAAGAGGTATTTGACCTTACAGCTATCCCTCTGGGATTGTAGAGCTCAGAGTATTCAGTGCCATGATTTTTGATTCCTTGGAGGCCACATTTCCTCCTTCACCTCAGAGAAACTCCCTCCAGTTCACTGAAGCTCACAGCCTGATGTCCAAATAACCAAACAAGGATGGAGGTGTGGGGAGCACTCAGCTTTCCCTCATCTTTTTCGCCCCGTTACTCCACAGGCAGTGAGTGTCAGCCTTGGCTACGGGCTGGAGGAAGCTACCTGCTGACAGACACACCACAGACAGACAGACAGACAGACAGACAGACAGCTGGGTGCAATCCTGAACTGCTGCACATGGTGCTGAGCTCTCTGTGTGAGCAGGGGTCACACCAAGGCCCTGCATAAGGACAGGGACAGAGCTGAGCACCAGCCCGCTCTCCCAGGCTGGGAGCGCACACAGGTAGACATCTGCATCCCGACTTTTAACCCCACAAACACCCACCCAGGCTGCTGCTGCTGGGCCTTGGGTTTTATCAGAAGCAGACAGGCAAGCAGCTGCTGTTTGCACTGCCCAGTGACAGGAAATCCAAAGGGTCTGTTCTCTCTTGGTTTACACAGTGGTGAGTAGTTAACAGCAGGGGTGATCTGCACTGTTTCTTCCTCCTAAATGTTGCTCTTTCGGTGGTGTTTAGACTCAAACTGCAGTTTTTGCAGCCTGGGTGGGGACACAGAGGAGGTTTCCATGCACTTTGCTCCACAGCAGGTCAAAGTGGCAGGGTGACAGCGTTATCTCCCCCCGTGACAGGAGGTCACATTCCCACAGCGCTGCTACAGGAAGGCACCAGCTCCACAGGCTTGGCACAGTATTGTAGGGGCTTAATAAACTGGGAATCATGGCATTTGCTGTGCCCTTGAGCTAGGCAGCGAGTCCTCTGCCAAGGCCAGGTGAGCCTGCTGCTGCAGCAGCCTTCAGATGGATGTTGCCTTCACACATGTGAAGGCTGAGGAACGTCAGAGCTGGTTACAACCCCAGGGGAAAATGCTTAGGGACAAAGCAGATGCTGTGAGAAAAAACAGGCCAGAGGAAAGACTATTTTAAAATACTCCTCGCTTGAACAGTAGCGGCTAAGCCAAAATAAAATGTTTTTAAAAAAAAAAAAACAAAACAAACAACAACAACAAAAAAAAGTCAGTGCACAGACTGTGGGAAATCCAAAGGGGTCATGAGAAATGAGAAAGGTCCAGCCTGCAGGAGCACAGCCACAGCAGCACAGGGGCAGGCAGGCTGGCAGCAGTGCCAGTGACACCAGCACACACCGTATCCCCGCGGGGTTTTGCACCCAGGGGCAAATGTGGGACCTGCTCCTGTTTCCCAGCAGAGCAAGCAGCACGTGGCTGGTGCCCGACACCAGATTCACCACAACTGCTGGCTGAGGCACTCACTGGGGTGAAACACTCAAGACAGGCCAAAAGAGAAAGTGTCTTTCTCCTCCAGTGCGAGGTCAAAGGGGAATTGCCCCTCTCTGATACGAGGAGATGTGTTGGAGGGGTACCAGCATAACCTACCCCTAATCCTTGGATTAGGCAAACTGAAGGGAGAGGCTGATGGCCTTGAGAGCCCCTGTAGAGCAGCCTCACCACCACAGGAGACAGGGCAGGCTGGAGCAGTCCCCGTGGTGCCGGGGAGTGGAAGCCCAGGGAGCAGTACCGGGACAAGGAACAGTGCAGTGAGCCCTCGGCGTAGCGTCCTCTGTGGCCCAGGGCCCTGGTTCCTCTCGTGCTGTTGTAACTCCTGCCTCTGTGCCAATGGCTTCCAGAACGCAGAGGAAAACTCTCGCATCTCAATCACCTTCTTCCGACTCTTCCGCGTGATGCGCCTCGTGAAGCTCCTGAGCCGAGGGGAGGGCATCCGGACGCTGCTTTGGACCTTCATCAAGTCCTTCCAGGTACTCCTTCGCTTACCTCTAAGAAAGAGAACTCCTTTTGGAAGCTTAACCCCTCTTGATTTCCCTTGGTGGCCTCTCGGGGAGAGGTTTCACACCGGTGCCTCAGCTCAAAGGCGCCCAGGGACAAGCGGCAGGAATGAGTCGAGCAAATGGGACTCGCAGGGAATGACTGCCTGGGTATGAGTTTCGTCCTTAAAGCATGAGTAATTGCTTGAGACCCTCCTGAACAGCCTTAATAGTTCAGTTCAACTCAATTACTGCCTGTCTGTAACCCTTTGATCCCATCTTTCATTTTTTTTTTCCCTTTTTTTGAGCTGTATTTCATATGTGTAACTTTAATACACAGCTATGGGGGAAGGCCTGGGTCTCAATTAAGTTTCCTTTAAGCCTTGTTTTGAGGATTTCCAGTGAGTACTAGAGGTGTGTGGCCTCCATACTTTCATCCAGGAAGAATTCACCTTTTTAGCCCTACTCTTTTGAGCTGGTAACAATGCCAAGTTATTAAATTGCTGCTGCTTTTTTTCCCCTGGAGACAGGTTGCATTTCAGTGGTAGGTAAAGAGTAGATAGGAGGAAGTGAAGAATACCAGACTGGATAAGAATCACTACTTTTGGAGGAAAAGAAACACCAGAGTTATTTGCTAGAAAAAAAAAAAAAAACTAGCCACATATAGTAAAATGATAATTAGAGATGAAGCAGAGCATATACCTGCATTTTGAAAGGACTTGACCTGGATTTACTGGACCAGCACAACCTGGATGTTAGCTGGGGCATATCCAAAGGAAATGGCAGGGAAACACAGCACAGGAATACAAATAGTGGCCTAAACATGAGAAAATATGCAGAACACACCACTGGACAAAAGCACGAAAGAATAACTAGTGCAACACACAAGTCTTGAAACAGCCCCTCAGACTGAAGCTGTAAATGGCTAATAGCTTTTGTATTGACTCAGATGGAAAAGGAACTGACCCATACTTTAAAACTTAAACCTCACCAGCAACAACACAAGCTGGGACCAAAGCCTGCAGTGCTGCAGCTCATTGCAACTTCTGTCTCTTCTCAGCAGAAGTAACACGCCAGGGATCAGCACGGACCTTTCCAGTGCAGCTCCCAGCGGTCCCGGTAGCCAGACCACCAGGCTGATGCCAAGCACTCATTTTTCACACTCCTTGACTGCCAGAGGACCTAACCCTGCACAGCAGGCTTCTGACACATCCATGCCACAGTGACTTTTTCCATTGCTTGTGGAGTTGCCAACTTCCAGGCTGTTATTTGAGCAGCACCACTGGGAACCATTTTGTTTGCAGGCGTAGGAATGAGATTCCCTTGGCACAGCTCAGCCAGCCCTGATGCAGGGGACAGAGTCACACTTTCCAGCTCCTGATTCTCCTCCCCTTGCCCCTGTGCCCCTCCAGCCTCTTTAGCAATAGCTCACCCTGAGCTGGTCATGGCTCATGGCTGGAGAGGAGGAGATGGATGGGAAAGGGAGCACCTGGTACTTCCCTCCAGTGACCTTCAGACCTCTTGGGTTGGGAGTCACTTCAGGCAGGGTTGTAGGGTGCTGGGAGAAAGTACAGAGGGATCCTCCCCAGCAGGGGAGGGGGGGAAAAAAGAAAAGCAGCATTGCAAGCAAGTGCCTTTTCCCTTGAAAGCCTTTAGCCATTTATAACATGGAATTCTCTGCTCCAAGCTCCTCCTCTTGCAACTACCGGGAGGCTCCTTTGGGAGCTAAGAATAGCCACAGTGCCGTGTTTAATTCAGCCACTCCCACTGTCAGAATGTGGGATCCCAGCAGACCTTGGCACGGGCTCCTCAGTGTCCCCACATGCTTCCAGGAAGCATCTCTGCTCCCACAGGGCAGCCTAAGAAGCAATGAACTCCTGGAGTTGGATCCCGTGGTAACTTCCACGTGCCCTGGGCATGGCACGAAGTGCTGACGTACGAGCTGGGGCACTGGTCAGACTGGTGGGAAAGTGCTCAGCAGGGTTTCCATCTGCACACACAGCCACAGGGTCAGCCTGGGGAGGAGTGGGAAGTGAGAGGGTGCTGAGGGCACGGCAGGGCCGTGGGAATCGCAAGGACAAAGTGGTAACGCCAGGGAAGGACAGAGCCGGAGGAGGACAGAGACAGAAGTGTGGAATATGAGAGGTGGAGAGCTCAGGGAGCAAGGGAACAAGGGGCAGGGATGAGCAGGAAGGGGCATTAGTGGAGAGGAATGGACTGAGCAGAAGAACATGAATAGGAAGTGAAGGAGCAGGCAGAAAGGAGAGAAGACACTTTCCCATCCCCATTTGGGTGGGAAAAACAGAAGTACAGAAAACAGAAGTGCTGTTAAGGTTATACACCTCAGGTCCTGCCTGGACACTGGCCCAGGAGCTCTTAGGTATTGTTTGTATCAAGTCCCAACTAAATCATCACAAAATGTTTGGAGCCCAGTTCTGAGCTGGTGGTCTCTTCAGTGACACTGTGAGGTAAAATACCGATTTTTCTGGTCCCCTAAGAAGCCAGAGGAATCTGTCCTGATACTCAAGATGATGATTACAGACATTGTCTAAAGGACTTGATTATTTTTTGCCATTTTAATATTCAGATCTCTTGGAGATGATTTATGCAGATCTTTGTCAAATCTCCACGGTGAAAATATTCCCTCGATTTTTCCTGTGGGATTTAGTTGTGTTGAATTTAGGATTACAGAAGGGTTTGGGTTGGAAGGGACCTTAAAATCACCTAGTTCCAACCACTCTGCCATGGGCAGGGCCACCTTCCACTAGACCAGGTTGTTCAGAGCTCCATCCAGCCTTGAGCACTCCCAGGGATGAGACAGCCACAGCTTCTCTGAGCACCCTGTTCATGCCTCACCCACCCATATAGTAAAGAATTTCCTCCTAATATTTAATCTAAACCTGCCCTCTTTCAGTTTAAAACCATCACCCCTTCTCCTATCACTGCATAAAATGAAAACTTGAAAAAAATTCCTCACTGTCTTTATTGTAGGTCCCCCTCAGGTATTGGAAGGTGGTCTAGAGTCTCTCTGGAGCCTTCTCTTCTCCAGGCTGAACCCCAGCTCTCTCAGCCTGTCTCCACAGCAGAGGTGCTGCAGCCCTCTGATAATGCTGTAGGCTCATTATAGCCTGGGAAATTGGGTGTTCAACATCTAGATCAGGGACTGTGCTCACATTTTCAGAGTGAATGTGTCCACCCATTTCCTCTGAAGCAAGTCCTGAAAGCCTCTGGTCTGAGTGCTAGATATTCCGAAAGATTGCTGCTCAAAAGCCTGAGCCCGTGAAGTCCCGAGCCCTTGGCTCCTGTCAGTGGTGGAGGAAGCTGGTGGCACTCAGCACTTGGGAGGCAGCTCTGCATATCAGGGCTCTGCATTTCCTCTCCAGCAGCTGATCACTGACACTCAGTGCATGGCAGACAGCATCAGGGACACCTAACACTGAGCAGGGAACCTGCTGATGCTGCCTCAGCTACCCAGGGTGGTACCAGCCATTGTAGCAGAAGCCTCAAATTAAGATTCTGCCCGCATCCCTTTATTTCACCGTACTGGATCCAGGGAAATATCAGATTCCCAGAGTCGTGCTAGCTGTGAGAGCTTTCTCCTCCTGGTTAGCAGGTGCAGACACTGGTTTTGCCTCGCTTTCCTGCCTCGGTCAAGGGCGGGAGTGACGGGAAAGCAGCGGAGCTCCATCCATCCATCCCTCCATCCCCCCAAGGCACAGAGCCGAGCCTCCTGGGCTGGGCTGGGCCACCAAGCGTGGGCCTGTAGAGGCATCTAGTGGCCACCTGCCCGCACTACAGAGCCCCCAAAATCAGCGGCACAACCAGGCAGAGACACAGTGCTCTCTTCTCTTCTTTCGTTTGCAGGCTCTCCCCTACGTGGCTCTTTTAATAGTGATGCTGTTCTTCATCTACGCTGTGATTGGGATGCAGGTGAGTGATGCTCAAAGAGCTCGGCCGTGTCTGTCTCCTCCTGCTAGAGCCTGGCAACAGGCTTAGAGGGTAACTAGATCCATGTGTGGTTGTGGGGGCTTACAGCAATGTTCTCACCCAGTGAGATGGCAGCTAACCCCGCCTGGAGGACATCTTCTGACTGGGTACTTCCAGCAGCAGCACAGCAGAAAGTATTGACCCATTTAAATACAGAAAACAATATGCAAACAGTAAAAAGACGATGCCTGCCCTCCACATTCTCACAGGAATATCCACCAAGAAGATTTACTGCCTTGCTTGTTGGTTCAAAACAGTTTTTTAAGTGGGCTTATGGCCATGCTGCACTGAACAGACCAAAATGTTCTCTTGCATCTCTTTCACACTGGCATAACTTCCACTGAGTTGTAAAGAGCAGCTTTTGATCTACACCCATGAAGGTAAATATGGGATCAGACCCAATGTACCAACACTCAGAGTTTCTCCAGGAAGCTGCATCAACATCTTACTCAGTTTGCAAAATGTGTTTGGAATCATCCTGAGCATTCACCTGTGCAAGAACTGATGTTGCACGGAGACCACTGAAGACAGCACATGGTACAGGCACAGTCTGTGACAGTCCCAGCCTCATTTGCTGTGCTGCTTTTCAAGCTAAGCTTCACTTTCCACTCCAGTGTTAATCAAAGTTCTCAGACAAGCCATCCATCTGGGACCAGAGGCCACAGAATAGAAAGGCATGGCATAATTGCTTCCAGAGGTCTTCAAACATGACAGGCTTCTTGGTTTCACAGTGACAACAGAATTTGTAATGCAATTCATCTGACCTCTGTGACCTTGTTTTAATTTGTTTCCTGTTATTATAGTCATGTGTTTTCACAGACTCCATCTACCCTGCCCCACCATGAAAAATAAAATTAATGTTTTCTTGAATTATCACAGGTTATCTCAATAGCCCCAGTAATCACAGCTGTCATTTACTCTAAGCTCATACTGTCAACTTGCCAGTTTTGCCTTTAATACCTAAGATGGCCAAGATCTTACAGAATTACCTGTGCTATACAGAGAATCACTTCAGAGTATTAAGCTGGTATTATATCGCTGCACAAAGCATAAGTGGCTTCCAAGCACCCACACAGATGGGGTCTACAGGGCACTGCCAGGGCCAGATGCTTTATTCTGTAATTTTACTCCTTTTTCTGACAGTTCTAAGTTACCTATTTAACCCTTGGCTTACATTCAAGCCTCTGTTTGAATCATCTCAGCAGCCTGAAGATCATACATCAGTCTATCACATTGATCTGGATTACTAGGTCTCTTTGTGCCCTCATGTCTTCCAATAAGAAAACCAACTTTTTTTCATTTTCCCTGTTTGCCCAGAGCCCCACAGACCTGTGATTATCACTTTTTGTCCAAATGGCACCTCAGACATTTTACTCCCTCTTGAACGTGCTGACACACAGAGTTCCCTCACACATAGAGACATGTGGGAAGGAGAATCATCCCTCACTCCATTAAGCAGCTACCACTAAAGACTAGATGTACCAGAACTGATAAAAATATCAGAATTTCCCGTGTAAAGGAGACCTACTACTACTTCATGTCAGCCACTGCCACGACTTGGAGTGCAACAACATTCAAGCCTCACTAGCTAACGTGCTCAAGTGGAAAACACCCAAGTTGATGCTGATGGATGAAGCCGCTCATACGATGGCCCAGGAGGCACAGATTGGAGAGGCTGTGAGGGAGGAACCTCCACTTACAGCTCCTCCCAGGTACCTCATGCAAAACACCACAGCAGCTGCTGCCTCGTGTGTGAGGGAAGATGCAGGGTCAAAAGGAAGATCATGGGAAGCTCCCTTACCTATGTTTGCCTGAAATGAACAATATGGGCTGCCTCGTCTCAAATCTGGCTGTCAGTGCTGCCTGTGGCACGGGGCTGGCCAGGCAGGAGAAGGCCCATGAGGAACCCCTGAGGAAAATTGCCATATGCTGACCTTCCCTCCCATCTGGCCAAGGCCCTCCCACCATTGTCCCCTTGCTCCTCTCCGCCTCACTGTTCCTCTTGGGGTGCTAATTCTCAGTGACATTTCCTTGAAAAGAAGCTGGGTGCTCTCTCAGAGCTGCTCTGTTCCTGCTGCTTGTTTTGGCTGCAGAGAGATTACAGCTCTCAGCCCCCGAGATCTCTGCCAGGCTGTTATCAGTGGGGAATAAATAGTCCTGAGTGTGCTGTGCAGAGACCTTGCTGCCACACAAGGTCTGAAAGTACCACAGCTAGCCAAGATTATTTTAAAGAAGCCTGAAACTCTGCTGCACTGGGGACTTCACACCCAAAGACAGGCCCCTAAAAAGGTTTGCTGATGGTTGTGCCGTGGCTGGATGAACTAGTTGGTGTGGCATGGGAGGAAGCTCTAGGGCATCCTTGTCTGGGCAGATCTGGTCATCATCTTCACGCTGCTGCAGTCTGGGAGGACCCCTGAAACACCTGCTGGTGACAAGCATGACTATGGAAGGGCAGGCATTTGGAGGACAATTCCAGATCCAAGGAAAGGCACTTCACATTTCTTTGTGAAGATCCAAGGCCCCCAACAAAGATGGGAGCTCAAGGCTCAGCAGCTGCTGGTGTTTTGCTGCCATTTCCACCTGCCAGAGATAAGCAATGAAGGAAAGAGCCTTTTCTTCTCTGTTACTGATTTCTTTCAGCTGGACTCCCTTCCCAAATGAGTGCTTGTTGAAACAAGGCCCCGTGTCATGTATTCAGTGTATGAATAAGGAAGGACACCTTGCTTTGACACAAAATGCCTCTTATGGCAAAATTAGCGCTTTTCTGGTGATAAAGCAGAAGCCGGGGAAGCAACAACAAATATGAAAGCCACACAGAAAAGTTTATTTTAATAGAAGAGCAGATTCCATTAAATATCAGGGTCAGGGTGAGGCCAAGAGCTACGGGTGACAAGAGGTTTGGAGGTTTTTTCAGGGCTAATCTGAAAAGATCTCTGCTTTCTGCCAGGTGTTCGGTAAAATCGCGCTGAACGACACCACAGAAATCAACCGCAACAATAACTTCCAGACCTTCCCCCAGGCAGTGCTGCTGCTTTTCAGGTGGGTGTTTGACAGCTCTGGATTGTGTCAGTCTGGGAGCAGGATTTCTCTGCTCTCGGGCACAGCTTATCTCCTTCTACCGTGTCATGCTCCCGAGGTGAGTAGTAACGTGTTGTCCTTCAGTGGGGAATTATGTCAGGTGGAATGACCAGTCCATGAAGTCTCTTGTACCCCAGCAGCTCACCCTGGTAATGCTCAGTGCTGGGGAGGGACACAGGTCCTCCTACATGGAAGGCAGCCAGTTTTCAGCGCTCTCCAGTCTTGATATGCATCAAAAACTTCTTTGGTTCAAATCTGGCCAGTGTGACTTCTAGCAGGGAAAGGGACACAATGAACTCGAGCTTAGGCATGGCCATGCCCAGCTCAGCTTAGCACATCATCCTACACCAGCTGGAGCCAGGGAGGGGTGCTGAAGGGGTGGGAAGTTGGCACAAATTCAGCACTGTCGTAATTTTGAAGGACTATTTTAGATGCAATCCACAGCCATGCCACACACACACACATCCATGATTCTGATTGGAACATGAGAGCCCCGTACCCACAGCAGTCAAATCCAGTCAGAAATGGCATGCTGATAATGGCAACAAAGCCAAACAGGGGAGCAGGATATTCCAGGAGATGTCAAAGCCATCGACCTGACTTGCTCTTAATTGACCTCAGTGGCAAAAATTCCCATTACTGCTCATGGGATCAGGAACAGGTTGCTAACATGCCAGTCCCCGTCACATCCAAGGTCACTGCTGTCTTCCCCTGCCCTCTGCCTTGCCCAGGTGTGCCACAGGTGAGGCCTGGCAGGAAATCATGCTGGCATGTCTCCCGGACAAGAAGTGTGACCCGGAGTCGGAGCCGGCCAACTCCACGGAAGCCGATCACTCCTGTGGCAGCAGCTTCGCCGTCTTCTATTTCATCAGCTTCTACATGCTCTGTGCCTTCCTGGTGAGCCCACCCTCCCCAAACCTTCCCTCTGTCAGACTGAGCCTCTGCTTGCCCAGATGTCAGCAATGCACAGGACGAGAATGATCTCCAAGAGCAAAGGAGCGCTCTTCCCCCTCTCCCCCTCAATGAGAAAACCAAATTAGCGTGCTGTGGGCTGTGCTGAGGCTAGCAACGCCTCAGCCACACTTCCCACCTTCCCTCCTACCTTCCTTCTGGCTGCTGAGCAGCTTCTTCCTCCCCTGCCAGCAGCAATGACTGTGAGAATACACATATCCCACTTGCATCTGCTCCGTGTTGGTGCTGCTCAGAGCCACAGCACACGCTCTGCAGCTGGCAGCGGTGCCCAAAACTCTCCCAGTGACCAGCAGCAGCATTCTAGAAGTTTTGGTCTTGGGCCAGAAGAAAGGGCTTTTATCTCAGCCCCACTGGCTATCAAAGATAAATCCCACCCCGTTCTGCCAGGCAAAGACAGAGGTAAATAAAAAAAAAGCCACGACAGTGATGCCTTAAGTTTTGGCTTTCATATTTTTATAGACATATATATATATATCCCTACACACCTAGGGAAAAATATGAAAGCTAAAACTTAAAGCATCAACAGCACATCGAAGAATTCAGCAAATTTGTGTCTCTTCCATTTAGCAGGGAAGAGAAAAATGTAAGCAGCTGAGAGTATTCCACCTCTGGGCTCTTCCCATTTAAACAGGGGGGCTGGCATGGGGGAATAAAGAAGCTAACCCCAATGGCTTCCTAGTTTTGTGAGTCCAAATCCAGACCTTAAATTGAGAACCTGGTAAAATTTACTGTTCCTTGCCTCATCCATCACATCATCTCTGTCCTTGTTTGCAGATCATCAATCTTTTTGTAGCTGTTATAATGGATAACTTCGATTACCTGACACGGGACTGGTCCATTTTAGGACCACACCACCTGGATGAGTTTAAAAGGATCTGGGCAGAGTATGACCCTGAAGCTAAGTAAGTAACCCAGCCTGGATATCAGAGCTCCTCAGGAGAACAGGCCCATTATTTTCTGTTCTCTAGACACAGTGCAGTAAGTGCCATGTTCCTCCTGCATTTTTTATCTTTTTTTTTTTTTGTACAAAACTCCTAAAATTGATATCACCACAAGGTGCTGCTGGTGAATCCATAAACCCAAAGCGCAAAGATACTCACAGAAATCTCAGCACTCAGGCTGCACTGTTACCTGTCAGACCATTGTTTTACTTTCTATAGGGGAGATATAGACTTAGTGAGGGCCAGCAGGAGATGGAGAAAAGGTGATTAGAGGCTTGGTTTATTGTTGTATTTGTTTGGAATATTGAGCTGTCACTCTTCTGCTTGACTTTGTACTCAGAGCAGAGCTGCTGTGCTCAAATGTCTGTTTTTTCATGTGTCATTTATGCCCATCACAACCTGCACACTCACATGGCTGCATTACATTGTCTGCAGGGTTATTCACAATAACAGACCTGCAGGGATTTAAAGCTACACTACAACAACTCACATGAGGGCTTAACTGACATTCGGTATTATATGCTCTGTTTGACACATGCTTAGGCTTAAAAAGTGCATTTAGATCCCTGTGGCGTTACTGTACAGCTGACAATTGTAATTGCAAAGCCCCCTTCATAATGCAAAAGCCGTGGAGAGAGATTTGGGTGTGAACTAAAAGCAGATCTCTTTAGGAGACAAAGTGTCGAGGTTAGTCTGGGCTCAGGTTCTGCCATGTGTGAGGGTGTGTCACATTGTGAGAGTGAAACGTGAATTTAAACACTTCTTCCCCTTCATGGTGACTTCCTGGGCTGGGGACTTTTAATATGGATGGAGAATAAGCACAGACTTCTAATAAATACACCATTTGTTAACAAAACATGCCACTAATTGTGCTTGCTCGACCGCAAGACTGCGGTGGCCGAAGCCAAATAATAGCTAACCACCCAGTTCAGGTGGCATCCTGTTCCTCCCTGCTCATAAATGGGAGGCTCTTTTATTCCTCTTCCCCATCCATGTCCCACACCCCTCCTCTGGCTCTGGTAACTTTCCTCCTTCCATGAGAGAATTCTTCTTTTGAGGTGCCATTTACCAAACTTAAGAGAAACCCGACTGCTGCTGTGCAGGAAGTTCAGTACTTTGTTTTGTGCTCACTCTAGTGACAGCCCAAAGCATAAACAAGTATTAAAAGGCAGTGGCTTGGGGCTATCTATGTGAGAGGAAATAAAAAACCACAAACCTCTCTGCCTGCTATAGGCCTCAGCCCAACAAGTAAATAAGGAGATTTTTATTTTGAGCAGGTCAGTGATGGGAAGAGAACCCCAAATTTTCTGATCACGCACTAAGAAACTGCAACACTGAAAAGGCTGAGATCAGTTCTTGCAAGTATTGACTCAAGTATGACTGGCAGCTGGGATTTCTGCACTAGTAGAAATTACATGAGTGCTGGGCAAATCCTGCAGAAGGCACCAAATGCAAGAGGCCTGAAATAATAACTTTAAGCCATGCCTGGGCTACAGGGAGCAGCAGCACGAGGCTGGAGGGACCTTAGTGGCACTTTTAGCTGTAGCTGCACTCTGCAGGTCAGCCCTGGTCAGGATGCAGCCCTCACTGTGCTCTCTTCTTTAGGGGACGGATCAAACACTTGGATGTGGTGACGCTGCTCCGGCGGATCCAGCCCCCGCTGGGCTTCGGGAAGCTCTGCCCCCACCGCGTGGCTTGCAAAGTAAGGGAGGGAGGCTGGGGCTCACAGCAGCTAAACCAGAGAATCAGATAGAGAATACAGAATGGTTTGGCCTGAAAGGCTCCCTAAAGACCACCTAATTCCAACCCCCACGCTTGGGCAGGGCTGCCTTCCACCAGACCAGCTGTTTTACATTCAACAGCTGCTGTGGTGTTTAATAGCTGACCCTGTCTCACTCACTGGGCACATCCCAGCTCTCTGCCCACCAGGCAGAGCCAACAACAGCATGTCTGAGCAACCCCTGGGCTGCCCTGTGCCTCTCACCAGCTCCTCTGGGCTGCAACCACCCAGTGGAGGGCTGGAGGGTCACCAGCAGGGTGGTTGTCCTCTTCTCAGGGCCATCAGCCTTTTGTCTGGTGAGGAGAGCACATCTGTGCTAAATACAGCTCTCAAGTACCAAGAACACACATCTGCTTGCACTGTCAAACACCCACCTCGAGATGGATTAGGAGAGGTAGAAATAACGGGGTTTTCTCGTTGTGTAGCTAATCCACAGGCCATGGATACTCACATAGAAGGGATGGCAGGTCTGGAGGGCTCCACAAGGACGTAAGGAAGAGCGTGCTTCAGTCCATGTGTGGCAGAGTGACTGTTGTCTTTCTTCTCTTCATCCCACAGCGCCTTGTCTCCATGAATATGCCACTGAACAGCGATGGCACCGTCATGTTCAATGCCACTCTCTTTGCACTGGTCAGAACTGCACTGAGGATCAAGACAGAAGGTGAGAAGCTTGCTGGCTGCAAGGATAGAAAGGTGTTCATGCCAAGGTGTCCTGAGCTGGAATAAACCAACAGGGACATCTTGTTTAAAATTATCCAAATTACTCATATGCAGCACATGGCAGGGGAAAAGCTATGTAAAGAGGTTTGGAGGAATAATATCTTCTAGGGAAAGCACAGTGTTTCCCACTACCTGGGAAGCCAGTGCTTCCTATAGTATCATCTCAAATTATTGATCACGTTCTTCACAGTGGTCTGAAAGTTTAAAGTTTTAGATCAATGTCTGCTCACACAGCAATTAAGAAAAGGATGAAGGGCAAAGAACCCTTCTCTTTGTACCCTGTCTGCAGAGCCACTTCTTGACTGCTGTTGCCACTGATCTTCCAGTCCAAAGGAAAAGAAAGAGCTTGGACTAGAGGGTCTTACCTCACAAAAACTCCTCCTGTGCTTCCATTAGCATGAGCTAACATTACATTGTAGTAACAGTGGTGTTGTAAAGGCAGATGAAAGGTAAAAGAACTGTTAATAACTTTGCATAGACAGCAGGTACATTGGAGGAAAAGCAGACAAGATTTGGGGCTCAGCTTGTCCTCTTTGTTGCACTCTGTCACCTGCTGTAATGAAAGATCTTGGTCCTGAGTCAAAATCTGGCTTCATGTATTAATGAGATGCATTAAAAGAGAGTGTAGCTCTGTGATTCACAGCTGAACATCTCTGCCTCAGGAGTGGCTGCATTACATTTCAGGCTTGGGGAAGCAAAGGCCAGCAAGAACTCTGCCTTACAGTGCCAGCTGAGCCCAAAAAACAGTGGCAAAATGGAAAAAAAATATATTAAGGACCTTGAAAGTTGTGCTAAGCAGAATTTGACTGTAGCACAAGAGACTCTCCTGAGGAAAAAGCCACCCACAATCCCTGTAAAACATCTTGAGTCTTATGAAACAAAGACCTCAATTCTCAGAACTCAATTTTCTTGTCTGTCAGAGCCTCACACTCTCGGAGTCATTGCCTGTGAACTCCTGGGAAACCATCTAAAGCTCCAACTGCTTTCTTTCTTGCCTTAGCAGGATCTTTTAAGTGGTCAGGGCAGGAGTTTGGAATTAGCCCTGGAGATTTCTGCCTTTGATGCTGTCCATGTGTTGCATCCTCAGCAGGTTATTCCATGTCCCTATCTTCACTGCATCCTTTTGGAAGAATTACTGCCATGCAGAGCCCTGTGCAACACCCTCAGGAGCCTTAGTGCAGGGGAGAAATAATAAAAACTGCAGGAACAGCACCTTTAGGAGGACAAGATACTGGTTTCAGACACCTAGAGAGAGAAGAGAGGGGTTTGAATGTACATAAATCAAGAAATAAAACTGAAGGTGACTCATTTGAGAGGAAATGGGTATCCAGAAAGAAAGTCACCTCCCTAGCCAGGGATGACTATGCATATTTAGGAAGAAGACTGCAAGAAACCCTATAGGTTGTTCTTTGAACTGAAGACCTCTTGCTGTGAGGGAGCTTTAGGAATGGTCTGAGCATCTCTTGGTCCAAAACTTTCCACTACTGAAAACACTCTGATATTTACCTCCTGAGATTTCCATGCCAGACATTAAATTGCTCCTCTGCAGGGTCTGCTTAATTCCTGTCTCTGATGATTTTCACCCTGCAGGTAACCTGGAGCAAGCCAACGAAGAGCTGAGAGCAATAATTAAGAAAATCTGGAAGCGCACCAGTATGAAGCTGCTGGACCAGGTGGTGCCTCCTGCAGGTGGTGAGTGCAGGATCTTGTCTCTGAATCTCTCTGGGTTTGTCCCACACCTGTCCTGTCCTACTGCACCCTGTGATCATCAGGAATAAGGGGGAGAGGCTTTCTTCTACAAGCTCTCTGCATTTCATCAGGCTGAGGTCTGCTCCATACTAACATGAATGTGCTGTTCTTACTGCTGAGAAATCAGGGAAAGAAAAAAAATGTGCATAAATAGGAGTTGGTGCATAGGCACCCTGTATGGCATTCCAGGCTTTCCAGGTGGCCCCATGGGCACAAAGCAGCACTTGGCAGTCAGCCAGCAGGTGCAGCCAGGTCCTGAGCCTTGCTCAGCCTGTTCTAAAGTCAGTGGACCACATCTTCTAAAATTTCCAGTGGGTTTGCAGAAAGGAGGGAGAGCTACCTGGAGAAAAATATTTTTGGCTGACTGACCACTTTTATCGTGTGTGACTGCATTTCAGGGAAGGGATGATCTTCTCTGTTCGCTCACACCCATGTTAGGCACAAAGGGACAGAACTGCAGTGCAGAGAAGGGTCAGAGCTGGCCTGGGATGGATGATCAGTCAGATGCTGCTGGCCAGCCAGCCTGTGAATAAGTCTTACACCAGACTGTCACAAGACAGCAGCATGTGTTGACCCAGACTGGGAGGTGCTGCTATAACCAGATCCTTTGTGGTTAACCACCACCAGAGCCAGTCTGCCCCAATGCCACCTGCACCTCTGTCACACTGTATTAGGAACAGCAAAAGTAACAACACAGACTCTCTAGTTTGGTTGCACAAGACAGCAAGTTTTATTCTTCCAGATCTTCTTTCATAGACAGGTCCCAGAAGGTCTAAAAAGGTAAAACTCTCATTGGTCATGAAATCAAGACATCACCATCATTGCACAATTAGGAACAACACTCCCTGACTGTTTCTTACAAGTAAATAACAAGGCACAAACAACTTCTGCAAAGATTGCTTTCCTTCTCTAAGGATTGTTTGGATTTCTCCTTATGATTTTTCAGGCCAGAGTGAGAAAGTTGTGTGACTTATTTCACACAGGCTCATGTCGCTAGTGGACATGAAATAGAAGCATGGATTTAATCACAACAGCTGAGGTTTCTCATCCCAAGGAGGCAGAAGCCTTTATTTTGGGGTTTTATAACCCTTTTATAAGGTGTTCTGATACAGGTTTAACCTGACTGGTCAAAGGAACAACACCTCTCTCCTCCCATTGGTGGGACAAGACAAAAACACATCCAGAACATCTGTACACCACTGTTTTGGGAACCAAAATCCTATTTACACAACAGTCCTTGAGAGAGAAAAGTTTCCCAAAAGACTTTCCCTTGGGAAACAGATCAGCTACTGACAGGCTGAAAACTCTCTTAGGCTCAGAAAATCATGTCCACAAGCTCAAGCTAGTGCCTGAAGCCTAAAAATCTCTTATTTGACCATTGTCAGTTCCCATACAACCCCTGGCTGCAGAGCAATCCCTTCCTTCAGCCCTGCATCCTGATGCCATAAAAAGCAGAGACGGACTGCAGCCCCCGGCGCTTCTGCAGGGCTTACGTGAGCGAAAGCCCTGATAAATCAGCTGACTGAAGCTGTTTTTTTCACTCCCCCACTCTGCAGATGACGAGGTGACCGTGGGGAAGTTCTACGCCACTTTCTTGATCCAGGAGTATTTCCGGAAGTTCAAGAAGCGCAAGGAGCAGGGGCTGGTGGGGAAGCCCTCGCAGCGCAACGCGCTGTCCTTACAGGTGACAAGCGGGCCCCGAGAGGACAGGGGGGGTACACTAGAGACAGGGGTGGCCCCACTGCCCTCTTCAACCATTCTAGGGGTGGCAATGGGCTGTCCCTACTGGGAAGGAGCTCGTAGACCCCTTGAATTATCACACCAATGCTTTTGGAGAAATACCTGTGTGCCGTGGTCTCTCAGCTCTGGAAATGGAAGGCACAGGTGAGGCATAATCATATTTTATCAGTCTGCCAGGAATATTTGAAATTTGGGATCCTTTTAGAGAACTGGCATGAAGTGTTCTGCAGACATTTGCTTACTCCCACATACATTTGACCCATTCTGAGGAGTGCATGTTGCCAGGAGGCAAAGTCACTGAAAAAACAAAAAGCACACCTGGATGCCAAGGCCATCCAATGGACTGGACTGTGAGGACTGGGATCTGCTCCCCACTGTGTTACATGTTCATTCAGTAGATTACCAGGCTGTGTGGCAGAAAGAGAAAAGCCCATTGACTGTACCAGCAGTACTATTTATGTCCCTGGAGGATACATTGAGAAAAAAGGGTGACTCTGGAGTTTCAGCAAGCTGAAAAGTGCTGTGATGTGGGCACAAACACAGAATGAGGCCTTGGTACACCCACAGCTTACCACCCTGGATGGACTCTTTGGAACAGACTGCAGTCAGTGAGGGGTTTGAGGACTTTGCAGGTCCAAATGCCAGAAGCTTAGTTGTTAAATCCATATTTAAGCTGCCGATTGAAAGAGATTTTCTAAGGCACCAGAGTTAGATGGTTCAGCTGGAACTGTGGCTGCTCTAGAGCTTCTGGTTGTGGATCTGAGAACCCAGAGTTGAAAGCACACAGGCCTGCTTAGTCAAGCCTGTGGATTTATGTCTATGTCCTGCAGTGATGGAGCCAAGGACCAGCAACAAACCTTCCTTGGTTTGTATCGCCAAGAGTTTCTCTGAGGTGGAGATGAAAGAACAGGCTTTGTTGGTGTTTCTCTAGGAGCTGGGGGTGCTCTGTTAGCTGAAGGGGCTCCATAGTGTTTAGGAAGAAGTGGCAATGCTGCTGTCTCTCCTGTGCCCACTCGGAGATATGAAGCTCTATAGTTTGCTGTTTTGCAGGCTGGTCTGCGCACACTCCACGACATCGGGCCGGAGATCCGACGAGCAATTTCTGGAGACCTGACAGCTGAAGAGGAGCTGGACAAGGCCATGAAAGAAGCTGTTTCTGCTGCCTCTGAAGATGATATCTTCCGGGTAGGTTCTGAACAAGTTTGTGAGCTGAGGCTGAGCTCAGAGTGCTCCCATTCTCTTTTGTTCATTCTGCGTTTCAGCTGGGCCCTCCTTGTTTTATAGATCTCACTAAAAAACAGTGGTGGAACTAGGTCCTAAGGTCTTGGCACAGTTTTATCCCAATTCCTTCCCTCTTTCTCTCAAGGGAAACTTCCCCCTGGAAGATTCCCTCATGAAATGTAAATTAAAGAGCAGATCAGTGCAGCAATCTTGCAGTCAGGCACACTTTATTGTTCTGTTCACTCTTTTCAGTGGCACTGGCAGCATCCTTCCAAAAAGTACACAAGGATTCAGTCGTGCTCCTATGGAAGGAGAAAATTTTCTGAGCAACTTAGCTAAATCTTTTCTTTCTTATTTCATTCCTGTTTCTTATAATTGTTTTCTTCGGTAACTTTTCCTCTCCTTTGGCATTTTCCTCCTTTCTTTACAGAAAAACACTGTCAGTCCCTTTCATTACCCATCATTTAAACAGTACATAACTGGCTCATAAAATTTCATTTCTTCCTCCAGGTGCTTAATAGTTTCTGGTGTTCTTCTCAAATTCCCCCTCATATCTAAATGTTTCTTTGCAACTGCGCTGGGAAAACCAGACAGCAGCTACCTGGTTCTTGCATGCATACCCCATCCTGGACTGCCAGGACTGGTGGGAGGTGTAGAGACAACACCTGCCAGTTCTCTGAAACCCCAGCCTGTGTGTGCCTGGTCTCTGTGGCAGAGATGTCCCCACGCTGCCTTCTGGAAGGGGGAACACCAGTGCCATCATCTGACCCTCACTTTTTTTCCTCAAGAATGATCTAAGCAGGAGAACAGCCTTGCACAACTCACTCACAAAGGAAAAATCCTTTCTGTTTCTCTGACAGAGAGCTGGAGGCTTGTTTGGAAACCACGTGAGCTATTACCAAAGTGACGGCAGGAGCGGGTTCCCCCAGACATTCACCACCCAGAGACCTTTGCACATCAATAAGTCTGGCAACAACCACGGAGACACCGAGTCTCCATCTCATGAGAAGCTGGTGGACTCCACCTTCACTCCCAGCAGCTACTCATCCTCAGGCTCCAATGCCAACATCAACAATGCCAACAACACCGCCCTGTGTCGCTTCCCCAGCCCACCCAGCTACCCCAGCACTGTCAGCACAGTGGAAGGCCATGGGACCCCCTTGTCACCCACCATTTGTGTGCAGGAGGCTCCCTGGAAACTCCCATCCAAAAGGTGAGTGTCCCAGCAGAGAGGGAGCCAGGGGAGCAGGTGTTGGAAGGTGCATGCAAACACCAGAGCACTGCTGCCGAGCCAAAGTCACTCCCAGACACTGCCCAGGCCTGGATTGAGCCTTCTGGTTCTCCAAAAACTCACAGTGCAACAGAAACACACCAACTGGCCACTGCAAAGCACCAGCTCTTACTGACCAACACACTTCTTTGGGCTTTATCAGGAAGAAACCTCTGTAAGAGCCAAAGGGAAGCTTATTTATCCCTCCTTCACCACAGGGAGGTGTTTTACCAACTGGTAACTGAAGGACACTGCTCTTCATGGCTTAATCACCCTATAGGGAGCTTTGCTGAAGTCTGTGGTTTATCATTCAGCAGGTCACATCCCTACAGAGGTCACCAAAGACATTCTGGGAGGAGGGAGGCAAGGTTCTCAGAAACAAAGCGAAGAAAATCCCCTTCTCTGGATGGTTTTCAGGCTCTCTGCACACAAATGACTAACACAAAAGGAATATAATTTTTCTCAGTGGGGGACTTTTTTTTAATACTTTCAGAAACAGCAGGAAGGGGATGATTTTTTTTTTTTCAGTGTAGAGAGCGAGCAGTATGAAAAGGTGGCCAAATTCTGGCCCCAGAAAGGACAGAATAGGCCAATAAAAGGAATTTCAGTGGGTGCAGGATTGCCCAAGTGAAGAGTCCCATGGTTTTTCTATTTCATGCCTTCCTGAGGGAGGCCACAGGAGTTGCTCATGTGTTCCCATCTGCCCCCCTCCCTACTGACTCGTGCTGTGACACTGCTAACAGGGTGTTCTTTTCTCTCCTTGCTTCCCTGGGCATGTTCCCTGAATTAGGACACATTACTACGAGGCACTGGGACGGTACGTGTTCTCCATACCCCTCTAATGCTGCCTGGGTGAAAGACCCACTCTCTTCATCCTCTTCAAACTCCAAATTCCCATTAATGCTGAATATCAGCTCTCCTTTTTGGTGTCAGCAGGGCTGAAATAGAGATACTGATCACCATGACAGCTCCAGAAAATACTCCCAACTCAGGGCAAGCAGTGATCCATGTTCTGGCTATTTTCTAGATTTGGGGTTTTTTAGAGATTCTAGCTGGGCTCACACAGCTACACATTCCCTGACCACAGCAGAGTGAAGTACACCCTGGCAGGTTCATGCAAAAATTCCATGTGGTTTTGGCTAAACACAGACACTTGAACAGGAAGAGATGCCAGGTACTGATTTTTTCCCCTCTGCACCTTAGCAGGTTTATTTGGCTCCCATTTCAGAGGAAGGCCACTGCAGCACTGTCCTACAGGTTCTTTTACACAATGCATACCCACATTTCTCCCAATGGTTTTTGCTTTAACCAAATGACAAGATAATGTTGCTTCTCCAGTCTTTAAAAGATGTGGGGAAATAAAAAATAGCAGCCCTGCTCTCTTCTGCAAATTCTAGTAAGAAACTGAAATTGTTTCCAATACCTCCATGTCCATAACTGAATGATTCAAGCTGCCTACAGATTTTACTTTAGTCCTCAGAAAACACAAAGTCCAAATAAAGCAAAATACAAGTGATGAAATGTGGAACAGAGGGACTGAGAGAAGGCAAGCAGGGAATTAAGGGCTGGCACACCTAAGGCTTTGAATAGATCCTAGTGAATTCAGTAGAAACACTCTGCAGTTAAAAAAAGGGATGAAAGGTGGAAAAGCCAGCAAGGATGAGAACGTGACCAGGAGGCAGAGCTGGTGCAGACTGAGGGATTTGGGAGGCAAAGGCCACACATCACAGAGATGGGAAGTATCCAGGAGGCTTCTCTGAAATCCATAACCAAGTCTTTTGCAACAAGGTAAAAAGCTTATTCCTGAGAGCCCATCTCAGATTTAACTTTGAGCTCGGTGAGGTGTATTTTGGAAATGTGGTGAATGTGCTGTGCACATTAATAGAGTACAGGTAGTCACAAATGACAAAATACATTTACAGTGTTGGTTTAAGAAACTCATCCTGTGAAAGAGGACACACACAAAGGTTGTTTCTTGTATTTGTGAACTCTGTAGCTCTGTTCAGTCATTGATTTTCCTATGATGGCTCTTCAGCATTATAATAAACTGAGACAGATGGAGCCTGTCATTCTTGTCTTTGTAACAGGTTGTCTTTACCATCTCCATATCTTGACTTGTCTTTTTTGCTCATTAGCTCCAGTTCCAGAGACAGCCAGCTGGCAATTGTTTGCCAAGAGGAAGTGTCTCAGGATGAGACTTATGATGAAAATTTGAATGAAGACATTGAGTACTGTAGTGAACCAAGTCTGCTCTCTACCGAAATGTGAGCTTTGCAGCTTTAGTCAAGGTGTTTGGGTGGTTTTTTAATTAAGGGGGAGAGGTGGGAAGAGGTGACATTTTTCTACAAAAATTTCAGTTTATGGGAGAAAGAAAATTTTAGACAACTCAAATATGAGAAAATAATTTTTTTAAAAAATGCTGTTCAGCCCTTGAAGTAACATTGAAGAGGATATTTTTCACCTAGGATTTTCCTTCTCTGAATGAGACATCTGGATCTGCAGGGCTGCCCCCCACATTCACTTCTACCTCCTGATGTTCCCAGAGCTCCTTTTTAGAGGGTTCTCTGTCTCACAGTCTCCTGTTACTGCTCCTGGATAGTTTGAAGCTAGCTCACTCCTGCATCCCTTTGCTGGCATGACCTTCCTGGCTTCCTTGCTGGAAGAGGGCTTCTTCTGCCTAATATCAGCTGCTTTCCTAAATCCCTCTGCTCTCCTTCCCAGGCTTGCATACCAGGATGATGAAAACAGACAACTCACTCCGCCAGAAAACAACAAAGGAGAGGACACCCGGCCCTCTCCGAAGAAGGGGTTTCTGTGCTCCTCAGCTCTAGGTAACCTCCCAGCAGGGCTGGGCTGTGTTTCCTCTGCCTTGATGGAGTTCTCACATCTCCCAGGAGGAATCCCAGCCTGTGTGGGCATGGGTGTTGCTGTTTGCTGCATTCAGGAATCCCAGGGCGTGCAGACAATCCTGATCAAGCTCTGCTGGCTTCACACTTGGCCAGCAGATGAACCTGTGGCTGTTTGAACAGTGCCTGTGATGTTTGATGAAGGCAGCCTGTGAATTAGGGCAGTTTATCTGAGAGCTGTAGACTCTCTAAACAATCACCAGGGAGTCCCTGAATGGGTGAGCCTGGAGTCCATGGTGTTCTGCTCTGTGTGTATTCAGCAAGGAGAAATGAGAGATTGTCTCCTTTGTCTGCTACCAGGAACACACTGAATGTCAGATTAAGTTAATAAAACATAAATTTGCCTTCTGCTTTAATTGTACCTGGAGATTTTCAAGTGTTTCACTGCCAGATGAAACCCGTAAATCACAAGGTTTTATGAAAGTATCAAGAGAGTCTGTGACAAAATTAACTCTTTCAGGTATAGCGTTTTTCAGCCTTTTTCTGAGTATTGGTGGGGTGAAAAAGGGCACTGAAGGGAGAAACTAAAAAGAATCATGTGCATAAAGTACACTTTTACAGAATAACAGTGACAGACTAGGTAGTGTCATGTTTAAAGTGAGGCTACACTCAAATCCTTCAGGATGCTTCAGTGTTCTAATAACATTTACTTCAAATCTTAAAATATTAGGCAATGACAACTTCTATATCTATCTGTAAGGCAGTCAGCCCTTGATACAATGCTTCAGTAACTACATTCTAGTGAATGTTTATATACTGATGTCATTCTCACTTTACTAGTTGGGCTTTTTCTCTAGAAAGATGAAATACTTTAACCTGCATTCTAACATTCATTCTCTGGGTCATAACATATTTTCTCCAACCCTGAGAAGGCTTTTTCTCAACAAGCCAATATTATAGATACTTACTACTTGTAGAATTCTAATTTTCTTGCCTTCTTTAGAAAAATGTCAACAAAATCAAACAAGACCACAAAATATTTCAGTGTGCCATGCATTAAATCTTTAATACTGGATTTATTTGCCATTTTGCAGAAGTAAAGCACTTGATCATAAACATACTTCTCAGTAGTTTTAAACTCCTGATTGGGAATACCTTTCTCATATTTAGAGAAGGGAAGTTTAATTTTATAGTGAGTAAACAATGTGACTGTTTCAACAGCTCCCCCTAAAATCTTTTTTTCTTTCCTCTTCCCTTCCTTCCAAATTCCGAAAATGCTTTGTGTCTGGTCTAAGTCACCTTCCATTCACCAGTAAATTCCCCATTGATGAATTCAGCTGCCCTTGACCTTGCTGTAGACACATAAAGTGTGGCATGGCTGGCAGCTGAGGGACACAGACCACGTGCAAGCAGGGCTCCAGTGTCACCTGAGCAGCACAATGTCCCCGTCCGCGTGTTGCGCGCAGCCAGCACGGCGCCCGAGTCTCAGCTGCCACTGTCCTGCTGACGGCTCTGCCTCAGCCCCTGAGTCTGAGAGCACTGCCACTGCTCACAAGGGAAACCAGCTGCATGTGTTTTAGAGGAGAAAAGTGCTCAGGATCCTACCTTGCAGCTTGCTTGGAAGGTGGAGTTGATTGGTTTGGGATGCGCTTCCCGTAGATTTGCTTTGGAGAGGGCGCTGTGTTGAGGGGAAGCAGACAGAGCCTAAAGCTTGTGTGTGTTTGCTGCACAAAAAGAAACTGAAAACAGATCACCTGTAGTGTATTATGAGTGATGGACACATTGTGTGTGTTGCTGTTTCAGGTCGAAGAGCATCTTTTCACTTAGAGTGTTTGAAAAGACAGAAGAACCAGGGCGTGGATGTCTCGCAGAAGACAGTCCTGCCTTTGCATCTGGTCCATCATCAGGTGAGTGTTAACAACCCCTGGCATCTGCCCCCCAGAGCATCCCAACCCACTGTTTAAAAACCATTTGGGATAGATTCTCAGCCATAGCAAAGGCCCTGGTTTTAGCAATCAGGATTTTTATCATTCCCAGAATGCTACAGGAATATGTCCCTTGGAGTCAGCCACAGTTAGCGCTTCCTGATGCCCGTGAAAGAAAAAAATAAAATACTTAGCAAAAAGATGAAAATAACTACCCAGATTGCATGCTGCAGTGCAATTACACTGGCTTTGATGGCAGTATGCAAACGAAGAAAGTGTGCACTGTCTACTTCAATATTAATTGAAGGTAACCAGTAAGTGTAATTAACCATTTTAAAACATAAACCGATTACAAGTAATTAATCAGCTTCTTAAGCCCTTTGTAACTGTGTTCAGCAGCCTAGCAAACGTACGCCTAAACACGTAGCTAGATGATTAGCCAGCTGTCAGGCTCCAGAGAGATGTGTCTTTTGGTTTGACAATGCCACTTTTTGTCACCATAAAAGAAACAGGTGCAGATGGCAGTGCCAGCCTTGCAGGTGTTGCATCCTGCTCTGTGCAGCCCCCCTCGGCAGGGCAGAATGGCCTTGCTGCTTCTTTAGGCTGCCACAAGGGCAGAAAATGCTGCACAGCAGGAATGGGAGAAGTCAGAGGAGTGGGCTTGAGGCTCCCTGGCTTTTCTCACCTCCACTTCCACAGAGTTATCCTTTAATTCTCGTGCTCCAGAAAGCAGAGAGTCTGCAGACAGTTACAGCTGTGGCAGGGACAACAAGATGTGTTGGAGCGGGGAGGATTGGTGAGGAAACAGCTTCCCACGTTCCCCAGAGCACCAACAGCCCTGCTGAGACTTCCTGCCCTCCCATGGCAGGCCAGGCAGAGGGAACACAGGCCTTTCAGCTCACACAGACAACAGAATCACCTCCCTCCAACCTCTACAAGTAAAATGGAGCTACTTCACCCTTCCTCATCCCATTATGCAGCCCAAGAGCTGGAGGGAAGGAGCTCTACCCACACAAGTGTCACTCAGCCAGACTGAAGGGCTTCCCTCAAAGAGGCATCTGGCTGCCAGCTGTGCACATTTACAAAAATGTTAACCACCAACAGTGCCTAAAATAAGGCCACAGAGTGGAAAGGTTGCCTCTGCTACACCTAATGGATTCTGCTGCTGTGGATGCTTGAAGGGGCATTCTCATGGAATACCTGTACATCATCATACGTAAATGTATTCAGCTGAAGCTCAAAGCAATCCTACAGAGCTTCTTTCAGTTTCCTCAATCCTTACATTTTCGATAAAACATTTTGTGTAAGTTTCTGCCAACAAGCTGAAAAATTGGTTCCATTGTCCTGCCTGACAGATCCAGGTCTCTCCCTGAAGTCCTGGCAGTTTAAGGGATGTGCTGAGGCCATTACAGCCTGCAGGGTATGACTTATTCAGAAGAAGTTTTAAGGGCTTTATCACAGAAATTTGCTAGGAGAATGACATCTAATTCCTGAGAAAGCCTTGGTGAACTTGCAGGTGACTAAGAATTAATTCTTTTTTTTCAATGTCAGTTTACCTGACACTGAAGTCATCAGCACAATATAATTATCATTTCCCAAGGATTTCAGTGGCAGATGGACTGAGCTTCACTGAACATCAGATAGCTTTAAGTGAGCTGTCCAGTTTAAATCAGTTTAGTCCCATTGTGGTCAGTGGAGGGAAGGAGCATCACCAAGGGCAAGTTTAAGTCTTGTGTAAGAGGCAGTGTTTTCAGGCAGGCATTGAAGGGAGGTTCACCAGTGCCTCTCTGCTCAGTTAGCTCAGACTAAATGCAGAGCTCTCCCCCAGCCTGAACACAACACAATCCACAGGCTTCTGTAGTTTCTGTGCATTTATTTCATTGCTCAGCCATGGGCTCTGTGAGAACTCATGACTCTGAGTCTTGCTTATAGAACAAGGAGGCAGTCACCATCAATAAGGCATCAGATCAGCCCTGTGCAACAAGAGGCCTCTTGAGGAATTTGTTATAACAGGAGGCTGAATGACTCAGAGGTTGTGTGCATGATTACAGGAAGGACTGGATGGCTGAAAGTGTAATCATCAGATATTGATCCTCCCACCAACAGCAGATGCCTTAAAATCCAGTGGTGGGTTTCAAGCTATTGCCAACTGCACACACATCTAAAATTCACATCTGGTATCTGTTCAGGTTCCTCAGTAGACACTTAAAACAGCAAGTGCCAATAAAAGCCTGTGCCATGTCTGGTGTCAGTGGTGGGAAAATGAGCTGCTGTCTCCCCCACTGGAGAAGAGGTGATGTTTCTGGCAGTGCAGATGGGGCTGCATCCCTCCTGGCAGTGCCATGGGAATGGGGCTGCATCCCTCCTGGCAGTGCTGTGGGAATGGGGCTGCATCCCTCCTGGCAGTGCCATGGGAATGGGGCTGCATCCCTCCTGGCAGTGTCGTGGGAATGGGGCTGCATCCCTCCTGGCAGTGTTGTGGCTCCCAGAAATTTTTTTTTCTGAAAATTTCCAATCCAGTGCTATGGCACTAGCACAGGGTACACCACTCAAAGGAAAGCTTGCAAAATGAGTTTGCAGCACACATCCAAACCCTTCAAGGAGCTGGCAGCTGTTTTCACAAGCCTCGAGACTCTCCAGCCCTTCTGCTGATGGTTCCTCCTTGTTCCAGCCCTGCAAGCCCTCACTCACTGTCCCTCCTGTGTCCGCAGGCATTAGCAGTGGCCGGCCTGAGTCCCCTGCTCCAGCGAAGCCATTCCCCCACCATGTTCTCTCGGCTGTGTGCTACACCCCCGGCCACGCCCTGCAACCGAGGCTGGCCGCAACAGAGCATCCCAACGCTGCGCCTCGACGGGGCGGAATCCTCGGAGAAGCTCAACAGCAGCTTGCCGTCGGTGCACTGCGGCTCCCGGTACCCCGAGGGCGGCGGCAGCCCCAGGAGAGCCCGGCCGGTGTCCCTGACCGTGCCCAGCCCCAGCGCAGGCAGCAGCCGGCAGTTCCACGGCAGCGCCAGCAGCCTGGTGGAAGCGGTAAGAGCACAGCGCGGGCATCGAGGGGGACACGGGCAGCTCGAAACATGGCCCTGGGAGGGCAGGACAGCCGATCCACTGCGGTGCCACGAGTAGGAGAGCCCTTCTCCCAGCAGGGCTTTGGAAGAGTGAATGGGAGAAGGAAAGGCAGCAGTAAAGAGGGTTGTGTTGGAGGTGCGGCAGGGCTGGTGCTGCACGGTACTAACACGTGTCTTTGTGTTCTGGTTCCCCACCTGCTTTTGAAGGTCTTGATTTCGGAAGGACTGATGCAGTTTGCTCAAGATCCAAAGTTCATTGAGGTCACAACCCAGGAGCTCGCAGACGCCTGCGACATGACGATAGAAGAGATGGAAAATGCAGCAGACAACATTCTCAATGGTAACAGCAAGCAGAGCCCCAATGGCAACCTCTTGCCTTTTGCTAACTGCAGGGACCCAGGGCAGGACAGTGCAGGAGAGGAAGAGGAAGAGGTGCAGAACCCGGATTGTAGGATAAGTCAGGAGGAGCTCAAGGACAGCAGGATTTATATCAGCAGCCTGTAGTTGCCAGGGCTGGAAGCGATGCTGGTTTTTTATTTGTTTCAATGTTCCTAATGGGTTTGTTTCAGAAGTGCCTCACTGTTCTCGTGACCTGGAGTAACCGGAACAGCGTTCTTCATTCATTTCTGTTGGGACGAGTCGCAGAGTTGGGTGGTGTAAGAAAGCTTTTCAGGAGCGGATATAACCCCAGCACGTGTCCATGAAGGAAGAGTGAGGAGGAGGAGGAGGAGAAGAAGAGGAGGAGAGCCAGCTCCCTCTTTTTTTCAGTCCCTGCACAAGGAACGACAGCTGCCTCCGGAGCACCAAGGGGAACCTCAGCTTCCTGTGGATGGCCCTAGCCAAAAGGACCCTGCGCCAAACGGGTGTCTTTCAACCTTGCTTGTAAAAATCATTTTGCACATATTCTGTATGAGCCTCACCGTCTCCATAAAGCCAAGGCCCTTTGATTCGGAAGGAGAGGAAGACTTCTGCTGTGGATTCCCACACGGCCACGGGGAGGAGGAAGCAGGAGAAGCCCGAGGCGCGGCCCAGCTCTGCCGAGACTCAGGCAGCGGCCCCTGCCGACCAATCACAGCTCGGGCGGTCACTCGCCAACCAATCCGAGCTCAGGCAGTCTCCTGCCGGCCAATCAGAGCTTAGCGCGCCAACTGTGCCAGCCAATGGGAGAGCAGGCATGGCCGCGGGGCTGAGGGGCCGCCGGGCCTGTGCAGAGTTATTCTTGTTTCGCAGTTTGGTATTTTCTTGAAAGCATGTTGCAGTTTTTATTTTGACTATTTTATTATTATTATTATTATTTTGAGGGAGAAGGGAGTGTTTACAGCGTTTTGTAATCACCTACCTTTTTTGTTTTGGTTTATTTTCACCTTTGCAGATGTTAAATTGGTTTGATCATGTTGTATTATTTAAACTGGGGGTGGGGGGGTGGTGTTTCTCCATTGGAATTTGGTAGAAGTATAATGATAGATGAGTTTTACCAACCATTATGTACACCGAGAATTTGTCATTTTATTTACTAGCAAACCTTTTTTTTGTTTGTTTGTCCGTTTGTTGTTGTTTTATAATTTAAAAGATAGTAGGCAATGCACTTGATATAGTCTTGCACATTTGAGTGATTGATTTGGGTTCTCTTTTTAGTGCTCAGTGTATCTGTGAGAGCGATGGGCGCGAGTGTGCGTGTGTGTAGGAGCAGCTCTCCACGTCCTGCTTGGAGCTGCAGATCTGTACCTGGGGCCATTCGAATGCAAAAACAAACCACTGTCTCTGCTTTCCAAAAGGGAATCGGTAACTTTGCATTTTCTGTTCCACAAGATATGCAAAAACAATGCAATAATATTAATTTTAAAATAAAAATTGTAAGTTGTGTCGGCATTAAAACTGTATAGAGAAAAAAAAAAAATTACGGGGGTGGGGGGGAGAAACAAAAAAACAAAAACCAGAAGACGTTACGCTTCGATATATTCCGTGTGATGTTTTATTGCATTGATAATGTTTCTGTTGAAGAAACCGTTATACTTGAATTCAGGTCAGTTTCAGTATTTTTCAAATATTTTTTTAAAATGAATTGCAATTGTGCCAAGCAAAGATAATGAATTGAATTAAGTTTGTTTAAAAAAAAAAAGAAAAAAAAAGAATCACTTCTTGTATATTTTGCTGCATGTCAAGTGAATCATTTCGTATTTGGAATGTGCCAAGCTTTACCTTTGAACTTTTAAGTGCTTTTTTACGTGTGGTTGGGGAAAGGGTACTATTTCATTATTTTTTTTTTTTTTCCTTTTTTAATTTGTACGATGAACAAAGTGTACCTGGTGTAAGTAACTATTCTGCAATCCACTGACAGGTTGAACGTTACTGATTTTGCATATCTTGTGTTCATTTTCCTTCTTCCTCACTCCCTTTTAACGTGCACGATGACTTTTATCGGTAGAGAATCTTTCTTCCCGAGACTGGGAACATTTTATTCAGGCTTTGTTTTCTTTCCTTTTGCTCAGTTCCTCTAAAGGTCTCGTCCCACTCAAGGGTGGCAAGACCCCCAAAGCCCATTTGGCAGATCCATCCTTCACGTTCAGCTGGCACCAGCAATTGAAGCAGCGAGGGGAAGGGAAAAAAAATCTGGCCTCAAAATTATTTTATTAAATAGCTGAACCCCATTCAATTTTAGCAGAGATAAGAAAGGAAAGAATCAGAATAGTTGGGAAAATAAAGTTATCTAACCCTGGTCTGGGCTGAAAGCAGAGGGAGAGAGCTGTGGATCTTTTTTGGGAGAATTGCTGCAGTCTGGTCAAGAATGCAGGTGCCAAGTTTCTGTGCATGACCTCAGTCCTTTTCCCAGACTTCAGTGGATGGGTCAGGTACTAAAGTCACAAAACACCTGGCAGCACAGCATGTCCCAGCCACAGTTCCTGACTAGTAAGTGTGAAACTCTCACACACCGATGGTTGGCCCTAACCTCGAGAGAGGCTGAGAAAACAGGCAGGTATTGTTAGATTTTATGCAACTGGTTTTTGTCTAGACTACTGCTAGTTTTTCTCCCTCCTCGGGATGATTCACAAACTTGCAGATCGGTTCTGAGGTGTAATCTGACTCAGAGCTAAACTTTGATTCACATCTTGAGCTTCTGCAGATATCTGAGAACACCCTTCACTGCATACATTGATTACATTATTTTCTTAACGCTCTTGTTTTTCTTCTCAATTCTCTGGGGCATGAAGGAGAAATAGCAAAGGGTATTTTTGACTGTACTTTTTGAACTGGCCAGTATCAGCTCAAGATACCTTGGGAAAAAAAACAAATACTAGAGAAATAGGAATCCATTTGTACAAGCATCTGCGGTCAAAGTCATAATTCAAGGCTTCCCTGGAGAAAGTAACCAGGTGATGGGGGTCAGTCTCATCCTTTCATCCCTGGTGCCTGTATGGAGATGGGCACACACGTGTGTCTCCCTGTGAGTTTGCTGCTGCTGCTGTGCTCCAAAGGTACTCAAAAGGGGAAAATGCCGTGTAAGAGCTCCCTAACTCATTTCCTTTCACTGCAAAGTCCATCTGACCCTCCCAATGGAAGATAAGGGTTCTTCACTATTCCTGAAAAATAGCAATTCATGGTGACAATGAGCATTTTGGATGCTTGACAGCCCATCTTTGAGGATCTTTCTGGATGGGAAGGAAAATGACCTTATGCCCCAGGCATTCTTTGTGAAAGCTGCTACTGCTCGGGGGTCAGAGCCTACAATGGCCAAGGGGAAACCCCTGCTCTCTCCTGCAAGACCCCATAGGTGCTGCAGAGTGGAAAATGTTTGGCTAGCAGAGAATGCAAATGACTTTTACAGTCTGGGGTGCGGGTGTTAAATTTAGTAATTGCTGGTGCCAGCTGTGCAAATTTCTCTTTCTGGGGAGGGTGGCCTTTCTTTTTTTTTAGTTTTTTTAATCATTTGAGGTACTTCCAATGTGCACATTGTGACAGGCCTGAGCAAAGAGCTGCTGCCTCCTGCGAGTGAGGCAGAGTCTGGGGGACAGTGGGAAGGAGGGGGCAGGTTTCATTCCTGGAGTGTTTCCCTATGGATGGGAGTGGATGGTGGGTACAATCACTGTGCTGTGGATGGAAGCTTTGAAGGAACCCATGGCTGAGAAGTGGTGTGGAAGGAAAGAATGGGGAAAACGATCTGCTGTTTGCCTCTGAGCATCTCTGACTCACAAGAGGACACTGCAGACTAAAGACGTTTCTTATAAAACAACAAACCTCCTCCCTGTATCACTCCTGCTCATTAGTCCAGACAGTACTGGGCCAGCCACATCGAGTGCATTTCTTTTTTTCTTCCCTATTTCTGTGTGGCTGACATGATGGGAAAGCAAACTCACGATCCAGAGCTGGAGTTCCATTGTCCACAGACCTTTTGTGCATCGTCTGCCTCTTCAGCTGGACATGTGGACGATGATGGTGTCGATGCTGCTGCTACCGCAGGGGTCCCGCCTGTTTTCTTGCCCTGCCCACCACACCCCAGCACGGAGGGACAGCCAGAGAGGCGCCATGTACAGAACCGCATCTATTTCTGCTTTGTTTTCTGACTCACAACCCTGCCCCGGTGACTACGACAACAACAACAACAAAAAAAAAAAGGGCAAATGCATTTTTTACATTTCTTGATAATTTCCAAAGCAATGTATCATTGCTTTCTTTAGACTGACGCCAATATAACAGTTGTATGGGTCTCAGCCAGGCTCCTGTGTCTTTTCTGCCTGAGTTTCAGATTGCTGTATGAAATGTACGCGCGTTTGCACACAGACACAACCAGGCCAGGTGGAGGCACCTCGAGCCCGTGGGGTTGCTCACCTGTGTCACACATGGAGATGGAGGCCTTGCTTCGTGTAGATGAGAAACCCCAACCCACTGGTCCAGCCCTGCTGAGACAGAACTGAGTATCCTGAGACACATCCGTGGTCCTGCTGTGACTGTCCCCACAGCAGGGGCGGTGGGGGGGAGAGGAACACTGAATGGGGATTTTGGAGCACAATATGGAAGGAGAATCCAGTTGGGGTTTCTGGTAGCAGTGAGATTTTGTCAGTTCCCACAATGAAAACTGTAGTGCACATAAATAAAACATTCCAGGCCATCAGAAGCCCCAATTCCCATCTTGCTAACATGAGGCTGGAGGGCATTATAGGCCAAGGAGGTTGTATTGATGCAAAGAATGTGGAAAACGGAACTGGGCCCTGAAAAATTTAATTACGTCTTTCCCGTTTATTTTCTTCTTCAAAGAAGTCTTAAGAAATCCAGTTCTCAATAGCTGCACAGGGTTTCTTTTTTTTTTTTTTTCTTTTGAATGTTGTGAAACTTTCAAGGTTTTATTCTGGGTGAGCAAGCCCAGGGATCCAGAAGGTTTCCAACTGGATCTCAGTACATGGAGCTTTTATCTCTGTTCCTGCTTTGTTTCTGGAAAGCTGAAACCACTCTGGCCTTGCTGCTACAGCTCCCTGAGGTTGGGTGGGTGAGGGCAGAAGCACAGCAGGAGA